CATATTTCTTGTTTGTCTATCAGTCAGTGTGCACTTAACTTCACATAACAAAGCTTTTAATGATTCATCATTTATTCTTGTTCAATATCCTTCCACAATGAATCATTTGTCACACCTTTAAAAAGAGAACCAGGAACACAAGATGTCACAAATGGCCAAAGAGTAAAGATTAAGAGTCCTCAGAATGCTGGTTCTTGGACAGGACTTATATATTAAACTGCACCCCCCCCCAGGGTTAGGAAGCATTGCAGAAGAGGGGGCAAAAAGATAGTAAGAGCCAGGGAGGAAGTGCATGACTGTATGGAAACAGAGTTCTACAAGCTCCTGGAACTCTGTTCATATGAATCTACAGAAATGGTGTGTCGACATTCACTAGTCCCATGCAAACTCAAGCAGACAAAAACCAAGCATAGAACTGGAGAAATGTTTAGCAGACCCCAATCTTAGCTAAAGAAATATTGGTAACTGATTACTGCTGGGTGAGGAAGAGCTGATCTTCCTAAAGCGAAGGACTCTGGATGAGCTGATTAGACCTCAGTAGATGAACTTTCACCAAGGAACGTCCAAGACACTAACTTGTCACAATATGTCATAACACAAATGACAGAATGTCTGAATTCCTGTGGGGGATGTATGGTGACTGGGATATAAAAATTAATAAATTGATTGAGATGTCCTCTATCATACACATATTTTAGTAAAAACAAATTACAATAACAGCACAGAACTTGGGAAGTGGGCCAGGGGGCACAAATTTGATGAGGAACTATTGGCATTTGATTATTCCTGGGTGAGGAGGAGTTGATTTTCTTTGAAACAGTGACACGAGACAGGCTGACGAAGCTCTAGTGGATGAACTCACACCAAGGAACATTAGACACACAAACTTGACTCAAGTGGTTTTAACATATTTGACACAATGTATGAAGTACAGTAGGTCAGCCATGAGAGAGTGCAGTTAGAAAAGGGGGAGGGGAATATGATTAAGCTACCTTGTATAAAATCCACAAAAATTGAATGGAAAACATTTCTTAAAAATTTACACCTTTTCATGGTCACATTTGCTTCTCTGGGATAGCAAGAACATCATTACAGTTTGATGTAGAAATGTAAAACATCACACTGAAATCCCAAACTCTAGAAGATTAGGCAAAGTAACTAAGGGCTAGGAGCAGCAAACCCAGTGATAGAGTGATTACCTAACAAGTATAAAGCCCCAGGTTACATCTTTAATACCAAATTAAATAAATTTTAAAAGTAACAATTTCATGTTCACAGCACTCTAGGGTTTGGGTTGAAGACTTTAGTAGGACGACTTCGCTGTCCAATTTCCTCTCTATCCAATCATGCTGCCTTTTCTTCCTTTGGTTTAATTCAGAGAACACTCTTAAAATCCTTGGATGATAATCTACATCCATATCCTCAGAAACAAGATCTATGGTGCTAACAATAATAGACGAATGAATGTGTGAGTGAATGAAAAGCGTCAAGCGCTATTTTAAAACACATCTGCTATGGAATGTCGCTTTGATATAACCATATCAAAATATAACATTTCTCAACTATATCTCTCAAAATGTTATTAATTTTCTTTTGTAGAACTTCAAATACTTTATTTTAAAGATAAATCTTGATACCTATATAAAATAGAAAAAGGCTAAGAGAATAAATAATCTTTAAATAAATGTTAACTTTATTTCAGAAAAATATAGCAACAGGCAAAGAAGCACATTTCCACCTTTACCACACATTAGCCTAAACTACCCCCTCAACTTCACTTCACCGAGTGGCCTGTGCTGAACTATGGTATTTCATATTCCAGGCACTCTTCTATTTTTATTAATTAGCAAGAAATCCTACTACTACAATGCCATATCATTTTTTTTCTTCCAGAAAGTAGTCATTATTAATACTTTCATTATCTTGAACTACAATTATTTCAGACTCTCATCATCTGTTTCTTGCTCTTCCACCACAGGAACTGCAGCTGCTGGCACCTGCCCTTCTATCTTTAGTCCTCATCTGAGTCTTTTTTTTTTTTTTTTTTCAGGTAAAGCATAACTCTCAAGGTTTTGGTGTCCTTAAAAAAAACCTGGCTTTCTTCTTTGAAAATACACATTCCTTCAGATGAATCACATTTACCATGTGACTTTTAAGTATTAGTAATTTAATGGAACAGAAATCCTTTATCTCATGGTGGTGCACACATTTAATCCCAGCATACAGGAGGCAGAGGCAGGTGGATCTCTGTGAGATAGAGGCAAACCTGGTCTGCATAGGAAGATCAAGGAGAGGTACTCCTGAGCTCAAAATTTAAAAAAAAAGTTTAAAAATACTCGAAATATTCTGTATCTATTTAGTGTTTTTTCTATATTCTGATCTAAGCCTAAATCTGTCTATCTGTCTTACATATTAATTTTGGTCTATGATACTATGCACTACCTTTTCCTGATTCCTAAATTGATATGATTTAATGGAGGATAGCAAGTGCAAAAATAATTATCATTGGATAAATGAAATGAAAATACCATGAGCATAAAAACTAATAAAAGCTGGACATGCATGGTGGCATACACCTGTAGCCCCAGCACTGGGATGGCAAAGGCAGGAAAGATCTCTGTGAGATGAAACCTGCTCTACATACAGTTCCAGACCAGCAGTGGCTACTGGGCTGGTGGGAGGGTCTCAATAAACAAACAAATGAATAATTTTTAAAAAGCTAACCGATATAATATTTTCAAATAACAAAGCCTTAATGGAACTATGTTTTAGAATCCATGTACAACCACTAAAATTATGAATGCAAGCTTTTACACTTAGTTGTATCCTTTAACCCATGGGAGTTGCTCAGAAAGTGCTAAATCACACCTAATGCAAAGAGAATCTGTAATCTGTGCTCTAATCTATTTTCTAAATGATATGAAAAAAATCATTTATACTAAATATTGCTCAAATTGATGATGTAGTCTCAATGTTGAATTTTCTAGGATTTCTATTTATCACACCAAATTCAAATTTTAATCTTTGGTTTAGAATGGTTACTTAAAAGCTTGTGGTTCATCAGAATCCTATTGGCTAAATATTTGACAAGGTTTAATCACCTGAATTTTTCCATTAGAATGTATTTAAGACTTTGATTTTGGAAGTAGAATACAAATCCATCAAAGGAATTTAAGTATATAGTACATAGAAACACACAGGATATAGTTGACTTGATTTAATTTGCTCAAAACATAGTCCTGAGGGTAGCCTTTGTGCTACTGATATAAAAATGTGATGAAAAGGGACCATGGCTTTAAGAAAATGGATAACACACATGGTGAATTCAAAACGTGAGGATTCACACTGAAGGACGTTTGAGCACACAAATTAAACTCTATAGGCCTTATACATAAAGAGTACATTAAATTGGCTGGGAGCAATAAGGGGGGGGGTGCAGATAGGAACGGGGACTGAAATATCATCAAATTATAGTGTATGAAAATTGCAAAAATTCAATTAAAAAGAAAGCAAAG